TGATGCAACTTTCAACCTCGGTGCGCACAACTTCATAAAACTTTGTACGTCATCCTGTTTGTTCGCATGACGCCGCCGCCCCTAAAAGTTTAAATTTGAAGCTTGAGAAATGATGCCGGCGCGCAAAGAGAGCGCAAGAGCGCAAGATGATGGAAGACGAGGTTGAAAGTTCTCGAAAGAAGCCCCTTGTTCACGTCTCCACCGCCGCCCCTTTGCACCACCACCCCCACCGCGGTTTTAATGTGTGTGTAAGTGTGCGCGCAACTCTTGTCGTTATTTTCTTATCTTTTAATTTCCGTTCTGATATTAGCAAAGTTTAGCGTCAAGTTGTGTTTTCTGCGGAGGCGGTACTGGAGGCGGCGGGGTCCTTCCAGTTCTTCATCTTTATATGCGGGAATATCGCGCGCGACTCTCGAGGCGGCGACGGGACGCGGCAAACGAGCGCAAAACTAATTAAAATTTGAGCACTGCGAGGCGGGCGCTGCCGCCGCCGCCGTCGAGCGCGGCAAGTTTTACTCGAGTTTTACTTACTTATTCATCATCCTCGGCGGCGTGCTCGTCGATGGCGGCGAAACGACACGCTTTTATTCGCGCAATCTCGGCTCAAACATTAAACATTTTGTAAATCACTAAACTTCTCGACACTTTTTTGTTTATTACAGGCGTAAAACGCTACGGAACTTGACAACTTATACATCATTTTAAAGCTAAATAAATTATCTACCACCATGTATAAAAATATTGCAAAAATATTCTTTAGTAACTGATTTATCTTCAGTTTAATTTGAATTAATTTAAAAATTTATGATTTGTGCAATTTTTTATATTTTTTATTACAAAATAACGAAAAATAATAATTTTACATTTTTAATCTTAGGTTTAGAAAGTACATTAAATTGTTTATCAATATGTTTTTGCAAAATTAAATTATCTGTAATAGTTTTAAAGATATTCAATGGCAAACTTGACCAATTTTTGTTACACAAATCAATGAATCGTAACATTTGTTAAAGTTAATATCATTTTTAAAAATTAATAAAAAATATAAATACTAAGGAAACAACAATATTTAATAGCAAGATCGAAAGCAAATTTAAGGTTCTTTAAACTACTCTTTGCGGAATTGTAATATATTCAGGCGTTTGGTAGTTATTAATAATTTAGTAAAACAATACAAAAAAATCAAAAAAAATCGTTATTTTGAGTAATTATTGCTTTTAGGTTACTTAAAATTACAGAATCGTTACATTTTAAATAGAAAATTGATAGATTAATAAATTATCTACAAAACGACGTTTTGATAATTGCTGTAAGCCTTTTAGATTCTTGATAATTGGTAATCAAAGTTGATAAACAATTTTTCTATCACAAAATTTAACTTTTGGCATCAAAATTGTTAATAAATCAATGTTTTATGGTTCTAAAACAATTTTTATATTATTAAACTATAGTTTCTATTCAACCCTTAAATATTTTCCACCCCTTTAACTGAAAATCACGCCTGATTCGCATTAAAAGCGCGTAACTATTTGCTTTTACTCGCGGCATAAAAGACGCCGTCAAGAATATGACGCAAACGTGCGCCCGTAAATATACGCCACCGCCGCCACCCCCAGCACTCAAAACCAACCCCCTTAAACATGTTCTTAACTCGCGCTAATGTTTTATGTCTAATGTTTGCTGGAAACAAATGGTATTCTTACGTCTGCCGGCAAAAGATAGAAATTTCAGGCCGGGCGCATTCAGGGGTTGCAAAAGGGTTGGTTTTGTAGATAAGAAACAAGAAAATGGGGTTTGTACACACGCATTGCGCCGGGTTGTAATTTTAAGGGTCGCGTTAGGTAAGAAAACGAACAAAGAATTAATACGCGAGGGTGAAGTGAGTTTTGAGAGGGAAGGTGCACATTGGGGTGTCTTATTACAACCTCGAGGGTAAGAAAATGACAAAAGAACCGCCATTTTGGACGACCCTTTGAGCTTTTGTGCGTTGGGACGGAATTAAGCTTGGATGAAACGAAAAATGTGGAAACTTAAAATAAAATTTTAGAAAATCGTTATTTTTTAGGGGTTGTAATCATGCTAGAGGCATAAATTATATATCAAATTAAAGATAATTAAAAAATTCATCAGATGGAGTATATTTTGTTTCAATATTTGTTAAGAATAATAAATTATCGATGTTTAAATTTAGTTTTTTAATATTTTTTGATAAAAAATTAATATTTTTGCAATTTGGGGTCATTTCTTATCAAAAAATTATAAATGAAATCCATTAGCAAAGAAGCTGTACTCTTTCTCTATCTTTTAGTTTCTATTTTATTAATTTATGATAATTATTACAAAAGTTATTGACAAAAACATAATACAAATCTGGCTACATTTTATTGTTTTTTATTATTTATTGTTAATAATAAGTTACTTTACATCATAAAATTTGTTTATATTTAAACTTTCCCTGAAAGCCACTTTAATTATCTACAATTTGACACTAAATTTGTTCATATTTATGCATATTTACAAAAGTTACAAGAAATTAAAATTAAATTTTTTTCCCAAAAAAATATTTTTTATTGTTTAAACTAAAATTAATGTTATTTATAAATGTAAATACGACTATTTTTTAATTTCACCTAATAGAAAATTTAATAAGGTTTAATTTAATATCTATACGACGTAAATCTAATCAGTAGTTCAGGAGTTGGAAGCCAATTAAGAAGCAAAAATAATTTCGCTGAATAATTCATGCTGTAATTTTGCATCTTGAAGTTTCCGCCATTCTCGAATCCATCCAATTAAACGATTTGGAAGTTAATATCTCGCGCAGTTCGACTATAATTTACAATTAAAGTCAGCCACCCTCCTTGCTGCCGCCTCCGCTGCCCCCTCGCGCACTTCCACCTATGCTCCGCTCAGTTCTTCGTCGCTCGTTTCATTTCTAAATTTGATCTTGGTCGGTTTTGTTTGCGTAAGCCGTAGCAGCGGCGGAGGCGGCGGATGGAGGCAGCGGTAGAATGAGTGAACTTTGCGCGAGCGCCGCGTTTTAGTTTTACTGCTTTAAGGAATTTTAAAGGGGTGTCTTTATGCGCGCGTACGCGGGCTCAGCCGCCGCCCTAGCCGCCCCCGCACGCGCCGCCTGCCGACGTCGTTAAATCAAAACAACACGCACGCGAGCGTTTCCTGCGACTAGTCGTTCTGTTTGGGGATGAGGGTTGAGGGGATGTTTGGAAAACTCCGGGGTGAGTTCCTTCGGATTGGAATAACAACGCCTGGGATAACAAAAGTTTAAATTGGAATCGTTTTTGTTGTAGTTTTAGGAAGAAAAAAAGTGAAAAAACTTGAATTTTTTACGTTTTTTTCTGGGAATTTTCAAGTTTAAAAGAGAATTAAACATATTTATAATTTAGATATTTTAAATGTTTAAACTGTATTTGATAGATAATTTAATTATGTTTCAAATTATATTTATTGCAATTAAACAATTATTCGAATTAAAGCGCAATTACTTAATGAAAGTTAAAAATCATTTTCTGGAAAAATACTGAAATAAAACAAAAATATTTTTCAACATTAAAATAAGCAGTGATAGGCTGCGACAATAGTTACAATTCATATATCATTTTAAAGATAATTTAATTGGCATTCTGTTTCACTATAAATAGTTTCCCTTACCTTATCAGTAAATTAATTATTGACAATTTCATTAAATAATTTTTCTTAAAAAAGATTGATTTTTGCCTTGTCATATTTCGATTAACAATTTTTTAACTTCCAATAAGAATAATTCAATTGTTTAAACATATTTTGAAACATAATTTATTTCTGTTTATGCTTGTGTATTTTTTTGTTAATATTTATTAATAATAAATAAATTAAATGCAATTTAATACAAAAAATCAAATTAATTTTGCTAAAAAAGTGATATTTTGCTTTTAACTATAATTTAACCAATATAAATAAACAAAAAATACAAGAAATAACACATTAAATAAAAGATAATTTATTTACCTCTTTAGAAATGTTTAAACAATTAAAATCGAACAATTTTTCACCAAGTTATCGCAATTTTTCTAAAACAATTTTTTTCATTTCAAAAAAATACGTATAAATACCTCTAATATAATTTTTGAACTTCCATACATCCTAAAATTATAAACAATATTCTCTTCATATATCAATTCTGATATAATATCTGTAATAACCAAATATTCGTAGTTTCTATTTATGAATATCCGAATGGAAGTTCTTAGAAGTAAAACAGCGCGCCGCTGCTCCCGCCGCCGCCCTCGCCGCCGCCGTGGAGCACACAGCCGAATAGTATAAACAATAATAAAACGTTATAGCCGCTACGGTCCTCCTCGCGAGCGCCTTCCGCCATATTCCTTGATGTGCTGCGTATAATTTTGTTCTCATGGCGTATTTACTTAAATAATGGCGCAGCACTTAAAATTTCACTTCGCATTTTCGTTTTACTGCTCAGCTCGCTAAACCGAAACCGACCAGGAGCCACGTTAAGACATTTACATTTACATTTAACCGTTTTCTGGATATAATTCACATATAACATGTTTTTCTAGTGTTTTATTAAAAAAATTAAAAAATGTAAAGTTTTTGAACAAAAATGAAATAGTTTAGAAAATTATAGATTAGAGATATTGTTTATTGTTAAATTTGGGATTGTAATACATTTTTAGAAAGCTGTTTAAATTGTCTATAATATTAATAAAAGAAATAAACAAAAATCTTAGTATTTCATAGCTAGAATTAAAGTTAAAAATTGATTTTTTCTGATTTTTTTAGTATTTTTTCATAATTTTGTTTATATTTTTGATAATAACTACCAAATTATCAAAAATTCTGCAAAAGGAATTTTATAAGCTAACTACAAATTAAATTACCTTCAATTTGATATATTGGACTATATTTTTATATTATTTTAAACCACTTTAAAATGCATGCAAACATTTGGCATTTTTTTTAAATCTTCACTTTTTTTGTTTCAGGACGAAAATAACTACAAAAAGGACTAAAAAGCATCAAAAACCAACAAATTTTTTATCCTGAAACTAAACAAGTAAGTCCTTAATAAATTTGCCTTTAAAAAACAATAAAAAAAATCAATTTATTAACATTTTTTGATGTTTTTACCAGAAAAAACAATTTATTACCCCACGAAACATTTTCAAGGATAACGACAACTTGGAAGGACGAAGAGAGGACGGGCTCATGACAGTTAACTCATCGGAACCGTAAAACAAAAATCATTTGTCAAAAAAATTAAACTTTGACAAATTCCCTAAAAAAAAACAAGCAAAAAGGACCAAAAACAAGAAAATAAAAGAAAAAACTCCAAAATTAATTTTCGACGATGAACCGACTCCAAGGACAAAATTCGTCCTTAATTAATCAAAATTGTCTGATATGCGAACGTCAACAAGTCGCCACTGCGCATAAAAAAACAAAACGTAAACAAAAGTAACAAATTTAAACAAATTCCAAAAATCAATAGAAAATTTCACTAAAAAAATCACAAAAACTAAAAAAAAGGATAATAAATAAGGATGAAAACAGAAAATATTTCAATTTCCGTCAAAATTCATTAGATTGATCAATTTTGAAACAATTTTTACAAAAATTTAAATTTTTTGATAAAAAACACAAAAAACACAAAAACTCAAAATAATAGCTTGTTTCAAACCGCCTCCGTTGTGTTTCGCCGCCGTCGAGCAGCCTCACCTTAGCCAAGCATCTCTCGCGCCCTCTTCTTTTCCTTATTTCGCATATTTCCCCGGCAACGCGGCACTTTCCCCCCTGTCCGCCCGCGTTCTGCACACGGTCGATGGTTTTCCTCGTTTTCCTCCGCTTCCTTCATTCCTTCACTGCGTCGCGTACGTTTTTTAGGCGCGGGGGTGCAGTGGGGTGTGTGTATGCTGTAGGGGAGGGCGGCTGGTGCGGGCGTCTTCCCTCTTTTTCTTCGGGGCGCGCGGGGAGGAAAATATGGCGAAGAAACGCGGCGCGCGAGCGTCGCAAAGGGAGTGGCTTGTATGCCGCCTCCACCGCTGCCACCGCCACCGCCGCCGTCGTCGTAAGAAATCAATGATTGCACAAATTTTCCCTGCCGAGCATATAATAACTCTCAATAATCAAAATTGTTAAAAAATTCAATTTTAAACAAAAAATTATTTTAGGGGTGGAAAATCATTTTAAAAAAAAAAATTCAATATTTATTCAAAACAATACTCAAAAAATTATTTTTTATAGTTTTATAGCTCAAAAATTTAATTTTTAATTTTTTTAATTTTTCATCCCTTAATTTGAATTATGGGATGATTTTATACATAAAAATATTCAAGAAATTTAGTAATTTGTAGCTTGTACAAGTTTTCCGACTCATAAATTACATCAAGCACCACTTGTGTATTCTCAAGACGTTGTTTCACCCTTTTGGTAGAAGGGGCGCAGAATTTGCCACCCCCTGACGCACCGTTCGCGAAAATAATAGCGCCGTACACGCCGACTTTGCCCATTAATTACGCGCCGTGATTTCCACCAAATATTTCATACTTTCAACCCTCTACCGTCAAAATACAAAACCACCCTTAAATTTTAATCAAAAAAAATATCAAAAATAAAAAAATATTCAAAAAAAAACATGATAATAATAAGATAAGTTTATTGAGCGTGAAATGGGTGCATAAAACATACAAAAAATAAAAAAATAAAAAACATCCCCTAACTCACAAAACCACTGACAGAGAGTGAAAACCGCAAAAAAACAATGCGAAAGAGGGTTGTTATTCAAATACATCACTAACCTGTTGAGTTAAAGTCTTTTTTCATGCAGAAATTCAAAAAATAAAAAAATCCCTTAAATTTTCAAACAATTTTCACGAATTTTATTTTAATAAACTAAAACACAACTTGACGCAAGAAATAAGAGCAGCACTTGAATTATAAATAAACAAGCTCATCTTTAATTCCATGAATCTTAAATTTCCACCTCTATTTTAGGGGATGAAGCAAATTTTCACCTCTTAAACTATTCTCTAAAATATTACAAAACATATTTATGAAAGAAATTTATTTTACATCGTTTAACAAGCAGAAAATGAAAAAAAAGTGTTTTTACAAATTAAAGCCCAAATTGAAAGCAACCCTCAAACCGAAAAATCACCGCCTGTAAAAAATCCACGTTTCAATTAAGCGCGCACTTAATCAACCCCGAAATTACCCCAATTAACGAGTTAATCTGGCGGCACGCGTTTAAAAACTCGCCGCTCGCTCACTTTCCACCCCATTCTCATGCCGTTTTTTCGCATTTAGCTAAACCCCAAATTGTGTTCGCAAAAATCACACACAACACACACAGACATGGTTTGGCGGTGAGCATACCGGAGGGAAAATAAAATCAACCCCAAAAGGTGAAAAATCTCCTCGGCTAATTTAGCAAAAATATCAACAAGTGTATGTTACAACGCTTAAAAAATTACTTAAAATTGATCAATCTAATTATTTTATTACATAAAACAATAAATTAACTCATAAATAAGGTCAATATATTTAAAAAATAACGAATTTCCTTATGATTTTCCAAAAAAACGAAAATTTAAAAAAATTTGAAAAATTAAAAAAAAATCGAAAAATAAAAAATGTAATCACACAACATGAATGATGATATGATATGAAATGAGACAATTAGCTGTAAGGAATTTAGTTATTAAGAAATATATTGAAAACAAAAGAAGAAAGAAGAAAATTACTTGAACATCGCCGCCGGATGAAGAAACGAAGAACCGAAGACCAAGACACACAAAAAGAAGATGACAAAATTAATCACCAAGTAACTTAACTTAACTTAAGTAACGTCGTAATTTTAACTGATTTAATGATGATAAATAAATAAAGCAACGAAAACAATGAAATGAAAAATCAAGTGAATACACATACAACTGTTTAATGAGATGATAATTAATTACTAATGTTTAATCAGTTTTTATAATGTTAAAATTTAATGATACTAGTTTAACGTGTTTTTTTTTCTCTTTGTACTAGCCCCTAGGACACTCCGATTATTTATTGAGACATATTTTATAACGTTTGACATTTTTACATTTAAGTTCTTCGACGTATCGTGCTATGATTTATGTATTTTTGTTTTGGTACGATATGGATTTTTTGATTTGATGTTTATGGATTAATAAAGGCACAATAAAAGCGTTTCGGCATTTTTTGGAATTGAAATCAGTGAGTTTTGATGGTTATTTTGTGTTTTCCTTGGTTTTATGCGGAGAAAAAGTGAAAGTATGCAGTGATTGGTCGACACGCGACGCTAAAGTGAAGGGGAACGCGTTGAGTGGACGTGCGGCGAGTGTAGTAGTCACGCTAAGTCACTCGCGCATGCGCGCTCCGGTAAGTCACATTACTTAAACTTTAAACTTGAATATCTCCTAAACTAATAAAGATAGAACAATGAAATTTTCAATATATACTATATATAAATCATACTTTATAATTACGGTGAGAAATAATGATAATTTTATATTTTGATAAATTTATTTTAATTATTCGTAATTAATTTTTAAAAAATTTCTAAATTATTAATATTAACTTATTCTCTAAAAGTGAAAATAACTAGTCCTAAGTGCCTTTCGCGCATGCGCACATGACTTAACTTTTACCTCTAAATATCTCTGAAACTAATAAAGATACCCCAACGAAAATTTCAATATTGAACAACATGATGTAATTACAACTGGTAATGTTGATAAATATCCACGATTACACTTTGATAATTGTGATAGTTTGCAGGTCGTCCTCGCGCGTAAATGAACCGAAAGGAATGCCGCCGAGATGTAATCGTTGTCTTGGGCGGTGACGGCGTCTTCGACGCAATCGGAGCGCAATTATCGTGCGACGTGCGAAAGAACGGCCGTGATTGAAGAGCGAAACTCGGCTAACGACTTGCCATTTTGCAAAATATGCGAGGAGCGCCGCCGCTGCCCGTGGAAGAAAAGCGCCACCCCCGCCGCGCTCGTATAATTCAACTTAACGAATCATTAAGCGCAACCGATTTCAGCGGGGGGGGCGGGTGGAGAAAACGGAAACTACGTGAAACTTAGTTTTCGCAGCGCGCACGAAGGGCGAAAACTGAAGATTAAATATAATAGTTGGCGCGACTGTGAGCGCTAATGTCACCCATCACTTAAACGTCACTCGTGTAATTATCGCATTAAGCGCACAACACCCCCGGTAGAATAAACCGGAAGTTCACAAATTTTCATCCGGAAAATTTAAATTTTTTTTATCTAACCAACAAAAACTATAAAATAAAATTTTTTAAATTAATTTAAGGGTAGTTTTTTAATTTGGAATATTTAGGGGTGGTTTTGTGTTTGTATTGATAGTTAATCGACGAGCAAAATTCCTCAACACCCTCTCCGTCGGTAAAACGGCGTGGAAAACGATCGGATCGATGACGCGAGCATGCTTCGAATACTTTCCGCACCCCTTGCCGCCCCCCTCGCGCACCATACACATCGCATCCCTTTTCCTTTTGCCATTCCTTTCTACGCGCCGCGCGTCTTTTGATTATCGCGCTCATTACCTTCTCTGCGCCACTCACCACCCTGCCGCCCCCGGGGGTGGTTAACTAGAGAAAATTGACGCAAAACTACAACAATGTTGTAGTTGGTATAAAACATTGAAATATACTCAAACTAGTACACCGCCGACACGACATTATCATTGGGGGCGGTTGGTGGGCGGTTAAAACCACCCCCTGGTGGTGGAATTGTTGGAATTTACGTCTTTTGTTGCCGATATATAAAGACGATGAAGAAAATCAACAAGATGGATGGAGATGAAGACGGAGCGTTGAGTAAATGGGTTGGGGGCGGCGGTAAAAAAGTGATTAATGACTTTAATGACTTCTTGCTTCAACTATTTCAAAGCGACGACGAAGAAAGAGCCGAGCGTGTATAAAGAGACCGCCACCGCGGCGTTGTGCGATGGGGGCGGGGGCGGTGTTACGTAACGTTGTGAAGACGCCGCCGACGACATTATGAAAGTGTAACCGTAAAGCAAAGAGATAAGGACCGCGTGCGGTTTTAATAAGAAATTCTGCAAATTCGCATTTGTCTCCGAAGCGGGCGGATAAAACATGCTTGGGTGGGTCTTAAAATCTTTAACTAGATGGCGCACGACTTAAAACCTAACCTAAACAATGCAAAACATTACATAACCTTATTTGAACCTGTAGTAATCAGGGAGTTTTTTTAGGGTCAATTTTGACTGCGCATAACTTTTAAACCGTTAAAGATAGAGATTTGAAATTTAATATTGGGGTGAAGATATTATTTAGCTATAATGTTCACTTTACAGAATTTATATTTATTATTTAGTTTTGAATTTATTAAAGTTTTAACAAAATAATTTTTTTGATTATGGGTAAAATGCTTTCTATATTAAAATCACGATATCTTTGAAAGTATTAAAGATACTTGAACCATTTTTTGCACACTAATAAACAGATATTTTGTTTATTACCTCTCGAAATATCCAGGTTATTGGATGATTTTAAGGGTAGTTTTATGGCTATTAGCTTTTTTATTGTAATTTGCTTTGAAAAATCTTAAACTTTTTTTAACACCCTGTAATTAATTAAATAAAATTATTCATAAGCCAATTATTACTGCATTTCATAAACTATCTAACTACCCTTATATATTTAAAATTTCAACCCTCTAACTTAATTGATTCTATTTTTTATTAATTTTTGAAAATAAAAGAACAAAAAATTCGAAAATCTATATAAAACTGCATAAAAAAACAAACTAAAAATCAAAAATTCATGGTAATTTGTTTATATCACACCTTTTTACAACCCCTATATATTTTTCCGCAGTTAATGCTCTTTGCAAATATCAATAAAACGCACTTTCATGCTGTGAATACAAATTGCGCTGAATTTTCAATTAAAAAACATATTTTTCATCCCTTAAAGCACAAAAATGCCTACACATGAATGCACATAATACGCAAGGGTTGATTAAAATCCCTCGGACACCCCATTTGAATAATTTTTGTCGCAATTGAAACGGCAACGCGTTAAAAATCCTTTTCTTTCAGATTCATCCTCGGACTAAAATTAGGATAGGGGATGAAGATGGAAATAAAAGAAACGAAATGAATATAAAAGGGGTAGAATATGCTTGGGTGAATATAGGAAATGCTGAAAATTAAGGGATATACAGTTTGCGCCACCTAGTGCGGAATGGAGGAAGGTTATTAAGGGTTGGAAAGCTCTGTGAGGTGGAGAGGATGGAAGAAATCTAGAATTTTGAATGAGACAATTTTAAGACGCGATATCTCAGAAAGTATTAAAGATAATTTGTTTAAATAGACAGTAAATGGATAAAAGTTTAATTGGGTATTACCATGAATTATTTTATAGTAATTAATTATTTATTTATAAAGTTATCAACAAAAGAACAATTAAAAACAATTTTTAATGTAAAAATTATTAATTCAACTTTAAAGCATTGTAACTTTAAAACGAAAAGAGATATAGAGGAAATAAAAATTGCATTTTATAAACAAAATGAATATTTATTACTTTGCTAAATTTTATAAATCTATTCTTATTTAATACGAAGTTATGAGCAAATTTGTCAAACCAAATTATGAATTGTGATTTCAAAATCAATTCTCTTGTTTAATTGTTAATAACTTTTATAATATTAGCAACAATGACATGATTTAAAAAGTATATTATAAATAATTTAATATTTTATAAATATGATTACACAATTTTTGTTTTTATTAATAATTTACGGCGTTATTAATAAATAAACTAAAAAAATCACAATTTTAATAATTTTTGTGTTTAACAATTAATAATAAACAAATTACAACACATACAACAATTCCATTATTCCCATATGATAGAAAATTTAATCAGCTGTATAAATCCACAAAACATAATCCTGTAGTCTAAAAACTGCGGAAATTATGCGCAAATTACCAAAATATTGCACCTGCCCGATGTTATTTGGTCGATATTGTGCAAAACTAGCCACAAAAGCCCGGAAATATCGCAACTTTCGCAGCTTTTCCGGCCACACGCGATGTACAAAATAATAGTCGTCCAATTATCTCGGCGGAAATTGTTGTGCGCGCAAATTTACGACGATATTAAATAAATTGCATAGTTAATAAAGCCAATAAAACACCGGGGCCGCGAAATTTTCGGCGGAGGCGGCGCGTGACGTTTAATTAAATTTGCGCAAATACACCGCGGCGTGTTTTCAATTAATTAATGCAAACAACAATGTATTTACACGTAGTTATTTTCCAAACATGTCACGGTGTTGGAATAATTTTTGGTAATTTTGGACTTTTTTCGGTTTTTTGAAGATAATTTTTGATTTAATGAAAAATTTGAAATTTTATAAATAAAGATGATAAAGAATTGATGTATCTATATATTTGTTTTTAGTGAATCTTGATATCTCTTTTGGTTTTTGAGTTATTAAGAATTAAAATCAACAAAAATAATTAAAATCTAATTTTTGATTTTTTGTATATAATTGCTTATATCTTTTAAAATTAAAAATCAATTAACACTAAAATTACACCAAAGATAGATAATTAAATTGTTTATAATATAGTTTTTAATTTACATTAATTCAACATTTAGTTCTCAAGTTATTCACTGCTAAAGCAAACTTAAATTTTTTTTTAAATTTTCGCATTCAAAACATTAAAAAAAATAACTTTAAGGGTTGTTTTTTTTTTTAACCCACCCTTAAAAAAATTACCTGCCAGGTAAAAATAAGTCACCCCTTTTAAAACCCCCAAAATTCACCCATCAATAGCATTGGTATTGTCGCTTCAACTTCCAACCGAGCTTTTTTCTTGTATATTTGGTTGCCTACCATAACCCACATATTTTTAAAAATATAATAAAAACCTACAACACACCAACATCTTTTAAGCGTAGTTTGTTAATAATAATAAGTGGGCTTGTACACAACTTTTGATTGACTTCCAAAGACAAACTAATAAAGCAGTGATTAATATTGATGCATATTAGGAAGACAATTAACGTCTGCACGTTTGCACAACCCCAGCGCATCGTAATTTGGGGGGCGGCAAGACGTGTCTTACGTCAGGGTGCGTTTTGACATCTTCTGAGAGCATCTTGAGACACGCAAACGTAATATTTACTCAGTTTCAATTAG